GGCATCACAGCTCACAGCAACCTCCAACTCCTGGGCTCAAGCGAGTCTCCTGCCTCAGCCTCCCAAGTAGCTGAGACCACAGGTGCCTGCCACAACGCCTGGCCATTTTTTGGTTGCAGCCATCATTGTTGTTTGGTGGGCCCAGGTTGGATTTGAACCTGCCAGCTCAGGTGTATGTGGCTAGTGCCTTAGCCACTTGAGCTATAGGTGCCGAGCCGTGTCTTGGTGTTTCTTATAGAATGCTGAGGAATAATGACATAAAACATTAAAAATATTATAATTGAGGGGTGGAACCTGTGGCTCAAAAGGGTAGGGCACCAGCCCCATATGCTGGAGGTGGTGGGTTCAAACCCAGCCACGGCCAAAAAAGAAAAATTATAACTGAATACATGATTTATGTTAAATCAGAGGTAACTTGATATCATATCCTGTATTCTAGAAGTGCCTGGGGCAGGTGTCAGAACAAAGAAAAAAAATTTTTTTTCCAAGTTGGATATACCTATAGTCCCAAGAACTCAAGAGGGCGAGGCCAGAGGATCCCTTGAGTCCAAGAGTTAAAGGAGTTCCAAGAGGTTCAAGGCTGCAGGGAGCTATGACCTTGCCACTGCACTCCAGCCTGGGTGACAGAGTGAGACCCTGTCTCTCAAAAAAAAAAATTTTTTTTTTTCAAGTGCAAGAGTTATGTATTCAGTCTATAGATAATGCTCTGTGTAGGTACAGCTTTATTACATCATTATTTGTTTTCATAGCAGAGGTGTTGAACTCAGAAAAAGAACCAGACAGGCAGTCCTGAAACACCAATGAGGTAACGAGAAGCAGTGAAAGATTCTAGGCAGCAAAAAGAAGTTGCTGGATTTGGAAATCATATTTTTTTGGAAATAGTCTTACAGTGTAAAAAATGATATGTGCTCCTTTTAAACAATTGAGGCAATATGAAAGTAAAAATTACTTATAATCTGACACCCTTCCCCCCAAGATAATCACTAGTAACATTATGGGGAACCTCTTTCCTGAAATTTCTTCATGCTTACAGAGTATTGTCTCAAACTTAACATAAATTGCACCCATTTAAACATCCTGTTCTGTAATAAATTTCTTCTTCTCAGGAATAAATGGTGAATAGCTTTTCATGTCAATAAATAGATCGGTCTCATCATTTTAAATGGCTGCTTGGTACTGCATGGAATGTATAAAATACGATTTCTTTAACCGGATCCCTATTGATGAACATTAACACCCTCTCAATCAACAGCCTCATATGACAACTTTGTGCATTCATCCTTTTAAAATCGTTCGATTATCTTTTTAAGATACATTCCTAAAAGTAATGGAGCTGGGTCAAGAAGTATGCCCTTTTTACATTTGGATTCAAGTTGCCAAATCATCCTCAAATTTGCAAGGAGACCAGTGAGGAAGCGGCCGCATTAGTTCCAGTGGAAAAGCGGCAACAAGGATGGCGAAGGGAATACAGAATCACAGGTGATCTAGCTAGCCTACCTAGGCCTATCCTCAGTGGGCTGGCGTATTCCTTTCCTTTTTCCTCTCTTTCTCTTCTTTTTCTTAACATGGAGGAAGAACCGAGAACTCCATCTCCCAGCATTTCGCAGGGACCACACTCCCTGGGAACTGTAGTATCGGGTCTCAGAAGGGTCAGGAGAGAAGGTGGGAGGCTGTGGAGCATGCTGGGAAATGTAGTCTAGCGAGTGGCGGCCTCTGTATGCCTATGCAAAGAGGCTGGAGACTCTGCGAGCATTTCGCCTGTGGGGATGGGAGCTCTGGGCAACCTGACTTGCCTCACTGGTGGTCTTGGAATCTACAAAAGCAGCCTGCGGACGGTTGGCTTTATTCCATTGTTCGTGACCAGAGAGGGCGCGGCCCCTCGACATTGGGCGCGCTGAGGGAGGCGCAGACCCCGGGCGGACGGAGCAGGGCATGCCGGGAGTTGTGGTCCTGGCGCGCTGAGACTGTGGGACGTGTCGCGGTGCTGCGCCGGCTCCTCCTTCCCCGCCCTACTCAGCGGTCCCCAGCCTACTCCCTCCTTCACCTCCTCCCTTGCCCGCAGCCGAGAGTCCCCTCCCCCCACCCGTCGGGCTCCTCGGCGGCTACTGCAGAGGATTCAGAGCCGAGTCGCTGAGGAGGAGGAGGCTCCTGTCCCTGCGCGCCATCCGCCACCTTACTGGACACGGGCGAAGGAGCGAGAGCGTCGCAGCTGTAGCCTCTACAGAAGACAAGGGCATCGCCGCCTCAGCCGTCGCCGCCGCCGTTTTAGTCTGCAGCCGCTCGCCGGTGAGGATACCCCCCCAAAACCCGGTCCGCTTGTCCTGAACCTGGGCCAGTGGTGCTGGGGAGAATGAGAGTGGGGGCTGCGGAACCCCCATGCCGGTTGCGGGGGAGGGGGATGAGGTTGCGACAGAATTGCGGGCTGAGGGGAGACTTGTCCGAGAGCGGGCTGGGGGTGGGGTGAGGGTGGGACCCCAGCAGGTTGGGGGGCGGGCAATGAGGAAGGAGGACTTTTAATGGGGAATAACCGACCTGGGACAGGAGAGTGGGGTGGCGGCGTCGGATTGGAATTTGGGATGATCTTAGGGTGAGGGGGAAGATGAGCCTGGACTGGGATGGCTTTTAATGGGGGAGGGGACTGAATGAAGGTGGTGATTTGGGTTGGCCTGAAGCACTTGACAGCTTGGGATCTGAGCTTGGGTGGGGGATATGGGAATGATTTCTGTAGAGTGGGATGTACAGGGTTGGAGAAGACCCTCGGTAGTGTTAATTTAGGAAGATGGAATTTAGGGTCGACCTGGGCAGGTTGATGGAGGTGGTAGGAGCTGGGGGTGAGGGGCTTGGAATAGGTTGAGACCCGAGTTTGAAGTGGATGTTTGTCGTCTAGGGATGGTGGAATTTGTGGAGACTTATGGAATAGCATGGGATAGGATAGAGCAGACGAGGTGGAATTTGGTTTTTTTCTGGGGTGGGCTGATGGACATTGGAATAGGATCTGGTGGGGATGAGATGTTCAATGAAGGGAGTGTCATGGTGAGCTGGCAGAAGGGGTCAAACTGGAAATTAGGCCCAAAATGGGAGAACAAGGATTGAAATTGGGAGTGGGGCACAGTGAAATCGGATTTAGGGTGATTTTAGAATCTCTGGAAGGCCGCTCCTTGTGAGGTTGAGGCAGAGGGCACGTAAGACATTACTAGGCTAGACTCATTGGAAAGGAAGATAGTGTGGCAAGTGGTGAGCAAGGTTGGGTTATGATATCTTTAAGAAAATGTCCCTTGGCCAAGGTAGTAAGTTTTGGAGAGAAATGCTAGAGATGAGCTGGTAGGTCTAGAGAGGTTGTTGCTGATGGTGAGATGGCAGAGGGGAAATTAAAGAAATGGAAGACTTGGAGTTGCTAGTATGGATGGAGCAGAGAGATGGAAAGGGATAGTGAGCAGTCCTGGAAAGAAGTGGGTTGGATTATTATGGAGAGGCAGGATTTAGGATAGCCTTCAAGAAACACAAGTTAGAGGTCAGAATACTTTCAGAATACTTAAATGGACAGATTTGGTGGCTGTGGTTGGGGGAAGGAGAGTAAGGTTGTTAGAGACTTAGCAGGGGTCACAGAAGGTACATTAAAGAATCTTTCCTAAAAGACATTTTAAGCTGTTAGTTTGATCTTTTTGTTTGCTTGTTTCATTTATATTAGTGTCATTTGGAAGCAAAATCATTATCTTAGTATAACTTGGAAGCTCAAAGGGTAATGTTAAGAGGGGCTTCAGGGTAACATAGAATTAGGGAGGGGAGGGTGTCTTCCATTATTCTTGTAGTATAAAAAGAAAGTTGGGGAAAAATGTACTTCCAAACTAAAAGGTGGGAAAAGATGAAACTAGAATGTTATAGATATCTTTCTATGTGATATCCCTGCCTTCTCCTTTCTCCCATTCCCTTTGTGCATTTAAAAACTAGTCCTGGAATTTAGAAGTTAAATAGATTTGATGAGCTTGAGATTGTTAAGGGTACAGTCCTTGCTTGAGAACTGATGAATTAACTGAAAAATATGAGACTGAATTTATTTTCTAGGCAGGCAACATGCATATAGGCAAAAAGAGCTTAGCTACCCCCTACTCCC